ATATATATATATGTATGTATATATATATATATATGTATATATATATATATATGTATATATATATATATATATATATATGTATATATATATGTATATATATATGTATGCACACACACACACACACACACACACACACACACACACACACACACACACATATATATATATATATATATATATATATATATATACATATATATATATATATATATATATATATATATATATATATATATATATATATATGTACTGGGAGATCAAGGAAAAGCCATCAGCTGCAACAGTCTTTTATTGGAGCAAAGTTTCAACCTGAAATGTGACATTCAGGTAATAAGGAGTAACTAAATAAATATTCTATCTTGTGACAAAAAGAAAATATACATACATCAACGAATATTAAAGTAACAATTCAATCCAAATAAACAAAATGAACTGCTTATATCACAATATTATACTAATACAAGGAATGCCAATACACATTTCGTGCGACGTAACTAACTAATCTACGTAACAATATCACAAAATAAATCATACATTGTACATATTCATTGAACTCACTTCAATGGCCACACTATCACAATCCATGATTCCCAGTAGTTGTCATCACATCTCAGTTACGGCACAAACCCATATCCACAGCCCATTAGACATAACACTGGCTTCATGAGTACAAAGATTTGTGCACAATAACTGCCACTTCTGTGAAAGGTCGAAACAAAAATATTCCCTGCGAAGTGGATTCGCACACAAGGCGTCAACCTCCACAGCTGCGTCATACGTGGGCTCATGGGTAAACAAAAAACACTCGAGATGCGCAACGTAACATCTCACCCGTAATTATCAAATAAACGTAAATATTCCTATTTTCATATACCTATCATACTAATGATACACTCCCCCCCTCGACATTGACTACTGTGGACTAGATTACATTGACAAGGTACATATGCTTAGACTTGTTCTTCTATTGGCAACAGCATTACTAATCTATGTACCGATCTACACATGATCTTATCCGCCTCACCATAATACCCTTTGCCATCCTTTATTATTTTATATCTTAAATCAACTTCACGAACTATCCCATCTCGTCCTGGGTCAGCCCTAATTACTTGAGCCAGTTTCCACGTCCCTCTTACAATATTGCTATCTTGCACTAGAACAACATCTCCTACTTTCACATTCCTTTTGGCTGTATGCCATTTCTGTCTAATCAACATTGACGGGAAATAGTCCCTTTGCCACTTCTTCCAAAAAGAATTTATAATATCTTGGATAAACCTCAATCTCCTTTTATGATCTCCATCAATTTCATATAAGCCAATAGGACAATGACAGCTAGATCGACCAAGTAACAGATCATTTGGGCAGAGATAGCTACCTAATTCCAAACTAAATCCAGGTTTTAAGCCTATTGGTCTTTCATTCATTAAATTGGCAATACAAAATAAGGCAGTCTGTAATTCTCCAAAAGTTAGTATAGAATCTCCAATACTAACACAAATACTCCTTTTGACTGATTTGATCAGTGCTTCACTTACACCATTATACCATGGTGCATCACTTGGCATATTGAAAATCCAGGTCACACCTTCTTTCTCCCCAATGCTCTCTATTTTCTTACTAGCTGATATTAGCTGAGTTCCCCTATCAGAATACATAAATTTAGGGGCCCCCCTAATAGCAATGAACCTTTGAAAAGTGGTTAAGAAATCATCGGTACTATATCCCATAGCTAGATCCAGATAAACTGCTCTTGTCACTAAGCAATTAAAAATAATTCCAAATGCTTTACCATGAGTTCTCTTCTTAACTGAATCTCTTATTGTCAATGGCCCAAACAAATCTACTGCTGTATGATAGAATGGTGGAGCAGGTTTCATCCTTTCCGCCCTCACTTGACCCATACATTGATCTTCCACTTTCTTATTTAATTTTCTGCATGTTACACATTTATTTTTTATGGTTCTTATTAATTTTCTAGCTCCTGGAACCCAAAACTTCCTCTGTAACTTACACAATGTAGTCTCTATACCTGCATGGTCCACTTTATGTAGACAGGATATGTACAACCTAGTAACAGGATGTTTATTCGGTATTAACATGAAATTTTCTTGATTCCAATTGTCTTTCAACCACTTAGAAATTCGTTGTCCTACTACTATAATTCCCTTTTCAACTGATGGTCCCAATCTTTTGAACCTTGTTTCCCAATCAGTCATGCTCTTTTGCATTTCTTTGACCCATAATATTTCTGCGTCTGTAATCCCTTGAACTGTGGGGCTTCTTAGAATACCTTTGAAAGACTTGTATTTGAATACATTCATTACCCTACATGTAACTCTCAGCAATTTGTAATAGTCACTATACCTATTAACATCAATTAATTGCATACCACAATTCTCATGACTTGCATTATTGACCGTCATGCTAATACCAATTCTGTCAGTTAACTCATCCTCACAAGTTTGCCTGATGGGCCATCTACTAGTTGGTAAAGTTAAAAACTGGGTCCATTTTGCCAGTCAGACTCTCTCCCAATTTTCTCTGGTTTGCATGGTCTAGAGGTCATGTCTGCAATATTCTGTGTTGAATCGACCCACCACCATTCCTTTGGGTCAGTTTGATTTGTATCTCCGCTATGCGTACTGCAACAAAGGTATTGAATCCGTGACTCTCCTTTTGGATTTGTGATCTTACAATTGATGAGTCAACTATGTGGTAAATTGCCTCAAACTTCCATGTAAACTCCTTTAATATAGATTCTCTTAATCTAGCAGCCATAAGAGCCGCACATAGTTCCAACCTAGGAATGGACATTTGCTTCATTGGTGCAATCTTATTTCTAGCTGCTATCAGATGTGACTCAAATTCGTCTTCACCAGTTTGCCACCTCACATATGCACAAGCTCCGTATGCTTGCATGCTACTATCCGAAAATATTATTAGGCTTGGTTTACCAACTGCATTAGATGGTATTAAGGATCTTCTAAAGGTCAATTTCTCTAACTCATACAATTCCTTGAAAAACATCTTCCATTCCCTAACCGTGGAAATATCAAGTGGATCATCCCACTTGATTCCGCCATCTTTCGACTCACCTTTGGAAATCAAGAGTCTCATCAAAATTTTTGCTTTGAGCAATACTGGTACAGCAAACCCTAATGGATCATATATGGATGCAATCTGACTCAATATCATTCTGCGTGTCAAATGTTCTGGAAATTTATCATCAATTTCATCTAAATTTAAATTTGGACCACTTCTGACATTCCTTATTCTTGAAGAAAAATTAAGTTTTACTGTGAAGAAAAAATGATCCTCCAACGGGTTCCATTTCAACCCTAAGATCTTCTCTTGGTCAGATTTTATCACATTGACCTTGCAGCTTTCATAATGCCCACTGACAATCCAATGTTTAACTCTGAAACTTCCCTGAGACAATATCTTCTCCGTATCCTGTATTAACTTGAATGCATTCTCAACGGTATCAGTAGAATACAGTATGTCATCAACATAAGTATTGTTAATAATCATATCTTGCACATCCGGATGTTCCTTGCCAAATTTCTCTACAGTGTGTCTCAACGCTAGCGTAGCTATGGTACCACTAGGCTTATCTCCAAACGTTACTGTGGTAAGAGCATACTGATCAGGTGGTCTATTGTCGTCCAAATCCCTCCATAAAAATCTGTGTGTATGTTCATCCATTGTGCTGAGCTTGACAGTATGGTACATCTTAGCTATGTCGCCTGCTATAGCTATATTATTCTGTCTAAACCTAAACAAAACTCCCAGTAAGCTGTTCAGGATATCTGGCCCCTTTGCCCAGAAATCATTTAACTTCTGCCCCATGTATGACGCAGAAGAGTTGAAGACAATGCGTATTGGAGTTGATTTGGATTCTGGTTTCAATACTTCATGATGATGAATATAATGAACTGGACCTTTGTATTCTCTTATTTCTTCCTTGGTTAATTTCCTCGCCACTCCCCTATTAATCATATCTTCTATCTCTCTCTGATACTTCATGGCATATTCATTGCCAAGTTTCTTCAATCTATTCTCCGTTGTTTTTAATCTAGCATTAGCTATTTTGATATTATCTTTCAAATGCATTGGATCCCTTAGCCATGGATACTTTGCTAGCCAGCATTTTTGTTCCTCATTATATAACAATCCATCCTCAATCAATGCTAGTTCTCTTTCTTCCTTTAGACTTGTGCAATTAGGTTCAGGACATCCTCGACACATACACTTTATACACTGTGGTTTACATTTTGTTCCCATTTCCTCCATGGCAAAGAATTTGTCCAATTTAGTCTTTAAGGTATCTGTTGATTCTACGCTAATTTCCTTCAAATCTACGAGACTAGACAGTTTATGAGTTCTTACAAGTGTATGATTGCTGGTGTTGGATCCATTGGTAATCTTGTCATGTCTACCTCGAATGCTGAACCCGAATTGATTTTCCAGCAACTGAATACCCTCATTTTGTTCAACAACCCTTGGCAGTATTTCACAACAATCTGTACCGATGAGCATATCAATCTCCCCACATGGGAGATCCACCTCCAAGTTCGAGATTCTTATAAAAAGTTCAGGTAATCTGGACAAATCAATCCTTTTAACTTTGGAAGATATTTCATTCATACCGACAGCATCCACATTCCAAACTTTACCATTCTTATCAGTTAATGGTACACAGTATGCTTTACTTGACTGATGTTCAGTTGTGTTGCCTACCTTGATCAAAGATAAATTGACGTCCTTTCCACTCAATCCTAACTTCTTGGCCATCCTATAAGTAATTAAGGAAGTATCTGAACCTGGATCCCACAATACAGTGACGGGCAGATTTTTACTATGCACCGTACTAATGTTCAACAAAGCTTTGCCTTTCTTCTCCATTACTGCATTGTGAGAATTGCTTTCTATTCTGTCTTGATGCAAAAGTGGATGATGATTCCGATTACATGGTCCTTGTCCTTCAATGACTGCATCACACAATTTGCCTACTTTACACCCACGTGCTGAATGATATCCCTTTAAACACCTAAAACATATACCATTCCTCTTAATCACATCAAATCTTTCTTTGCTATTACAGCCCTTGAACTTGAAACAATTTGTTATATCATGACTCTCTGAATTGTGTAATAAACAACCTATACTTATATTGTTCTCCTTGCATTTAATACCCATTATCATTTCATTCAAATTTACAATGCATGACTCAAATTCCCTATTCTTGCTCTGTTGTTCTTCATTCAATTTTCTCATCAGCTTAACCAACTCTGATTCCGAATTGTTTTCGACCACATTTTCAACATGATGTACTGTTGCTCTGCTATCACTAGTACTAGTTCTTACATTTGAATTCATGTACTCCAAAACCTTCCTTTCTTTCTGCAAGAAACCTAACAGCTCAGAAAACAATTCACCAGTGACCGAGATATCACTTGCTTTAATTACCCATTCTCTTTTTTGGAGTGAAGGCAGAATTTTCTCAATATGGCTAACAACATTAGCTGTATTGAGTTCATCAGATAGATTTACCCTTTTTAAATCTAACCAACATTGTTCAACCTGATCAACCATTTTAATAAACCCTTTAGTATCACCATCTGATATCTTCCTCAGCGATTTGAGATCACTTATCACCAAGTCTACAATTTTCCTTGGGTTACCAAATTTGTCATCCAACCGCTTAAACATTTCATCATAATTACCCTCCGAGCCCTTTACTGCCTGGAGTGCCTCCCCACCTAAACACATTTTGAGTGCATATGGATCAGCACCATATTCACTTTGAACCAAGTTCTTATAATCCTCTTTAAATGTAGGATACTCTCTTAAATTACCTTCAAACTTGGGAGGTTCAAATCTCTTTACCTTAACCTTTGGTTTGTCAGTTGCCTTCTTCTCATTATTTGCCATGAATATCTTAGCACACAGTTCATTCTTTAATCTTTCACTATCTAAAATATATTGTTCAGCCTCTTCTTCCAGGTTTTTATCTTCTAATTTATCCTCATTATCAGATATAAATTGTATCAGTTCATCATTCTTACACTCTAAACACTTAAATGCTTCTATTACTTCCTCATAGTTAGTCTTCAACACTAATAGATCATCACCTCTGTCTATTCCTTCTTTACATAAAGTTACCTTCCTGGTGAACTTTCCTTTAGCAGTTCCCCTCTGTTTCTTGAGGGCGTTGAGGTCCCCTTGCAAACCCATGGCGTTGAAGTTGAAATGTACTGGGAGATCAAGGAAAAGCCATCAGCTGCAACAGTCTTTTATTGGAGCAAAGTTTCAACCTGAAATGTGACATTCAGGTAATAAGGAGTAACTAAATAAATATTCTATCTTGTGACAAAAAGAAAATATATATACATCAACGAATATTAAAGTAACAATTCAATCCAAATAAACAAAATGAACTGCTTATATCACAATATTATACTAATACAAGGAATGCCAATACACATTTCGTGCGACGTAACTAACTAATCTACGTAACAATATCACAAAATAAATCATACATTGTACATATTCATTGAACTCACTTCAATGGCCACACTATCACAATCCATGATTCCCAGTAGTTGTCATCACATCTCAGTTACGGCACAAACCCATATCCACAGCCCATTAGACATAACACTGGCTTCATGAGTACAAAGATTTGTGCACAATAACTGCCACTTCTGTGAAAGGTCGAAACAAAAATATTCCCTGCGAAGTGGATTCGCACACAAGGCGTCAACCTCCACAGCTGCGTCATACGTGGGCTCATGGGTAAACAAAAAACACTCGAGATGCGCAACGTAACATCTCACCCGTAATTATCAAATAAACGTAAATATTCCTATTTTCATATACCTAGCATACTAATGATACAATAGATATATAATACATATATATTACATTATATATATATTATATATATAGTATGATATATCATATATTGGATCAGAATACACCACACACCGACAACACACACACACACACACACACGACACACACCACACACTATGTAGATATATAGTATATATATATATATATATTATATATATATGTATATATAGTATAATATATATAATATAATATATATATATATGTATATATATAGTATATCTATAGTATATATATATATATATATATATATATATATATTATATATATATAGTATATATATATATTATATATATAGTATACATATATATACATATATACATTATTATATGAATATATAGATATATATATATATATATATAATATAATATATATATATATAGTATATATATATATATATATTATATATATATATATATAATATAATATATATATATATAGAGATATATATATATAATATAATATATTATATATGTATATATATAGATATATATATATATTATATAATATATATATATATATTATGTATATATATATATATATATATATATATATATCTATATATATATATATATATAT